GGGGTGGGTGATAATCAAATGAGAACCACAAAAATATTACAAATTTGTAAGAATTGATATAAAATAATAATTTTTTGCATTATGTTTATCATCAAAAATATGATTTAAGATATTATCTTACATACTTTTTTTCACTTTACGAAAAAATTAAATGTGAGTTCCTTTAACATATAATGCATTTTTAATCATCGTGTAAATAAAAGAATATATGCATTGATGTAAATCAAAATATTTTTTTGTGGATTCTAATTTCAATTATAAAAAGAATATGTTTAACTTCTCATTGAACCACATTTTGGTTATTATTTTAATATATTGATTGATTGAAAAGTTTTAATAGATTTTTTTATATATTGATTTTGATGATTTATTTTTTCAATGTCATGTAATTAAAAATATGCATGTATTGATGTAAATAAAATTATATATAGTTTTATATATTTGTAGATTCAATTTTCCTTTATAAAATAATGAAAATGGAGTTAAAAAAAGTAGGAAAGTGAAAGGGTTAACAATTAATGTGTTGATTGTATATTAAAAATAAATCAAAATAATGAGAAAAAAGATAAATAGGATAGAAGTGTTCTTATTGAATAACATTTTGGTTCTTCCTTTAATATATATATATATATATTACACTTTTGATGGTTATGGTTGGCACTTTGGTTCGATTTTGGTCCCTGCAACTAACAGCCGCTAACAAGGTCTTTTAACTCAATGGTATTTATTTTTAATCATTTATTTGTTTTTCTTTTAAACAACTAAACAAAATAATATTATTATATCATTATAGTATTCAATATTATATATATACATATTACAAACATCCCAAACGAGAAAAAAGCTCTCCCTTTCGATGGCTCTCCAATCCCTCCTCCTTTCGGCAACTCCTTTAACTGCCTCTATCTCAAATCAGGCCAACCCTTTGTCCCTATGGTAACACTGTAACTATCATGAACCCTAATCGACCCAATTTCAAGAGAACTACCTCGCCTTACCCTCCAACCCTCCAATGACGAGATCATTGTCCTTTAGCCTCCTCTGTGTGTGTATGTGTGTGAACACCTGCACTTCCTCTTACACATTCATTGATCATTCCCATCTCTATGTCTATGTGTCATAAATATCGTGGATGTATGTGTGTATACAAAGATCTAATGCATGTAGACTCACCATTGTAGATCTCATTTTGCTGTATAAAGATGAAAAACGAATACCACAATAGAACACACAAAAGAACTTAGGCTTATTCTTTTTTCTCTCTAATTTTTGTATTTCTATAGTTTTTTTTATGTTTGCTTTGATAGTATGTGTGCATATGCAACATGAAAAAGAAGTCATTGATTCATTTTGATTTTAATCTGTTGACAGATTCTGTGTTGTGTGTGTGCATGTATATTAGTGAAAAAGGATAGATCATAAATGGTATACGTGAAAGGAAAAATTGGGGTAAAAATTGATGCGTCTAAGGAGAAACGAACACCAAAAATATTGTTTGACTATTAAAAGAATCCAGATCTAGCAAGTGATGGAAGAGACTCACCCATAGTCAGAGGTGAAGTTTATAGTTGGAGAAGGAAAAAGATGAATTTTTTAATAATAATATTTTTGTTTAGTTTTTGATAAAAAATAGCAAAATGCATTTAAAATGTATTTAAAGCAAGAACTTGATTTGATAATGAATATGAACCCAAAATGTAATTTACTCGTTTTTTCTATTAATTATGTTATCATCCGTTTGTCTTGTATTTTAACCCCAACAATCTTTCCGTGATGGCTCTGAACCTCGTGAGTCGTGACCATGTTATTACACATTTCGGCATATCATAATTTTTTTCTCTTTTTCTCTTTCAATTCTTTTGAAATTTATTAAGACGAAAAACCAATGCACAAGAGGGTTCAGATAAATAGAAAAACCAACCCGAAAAATGAAGCCCCTGGCACAAAGAAACTAGAAGAAGACAAACTCAAGTGAACAAGAACGAAAAACCTACAAAAAGACTAAAAGGGTATGACGTGAACGGTAGCAAAACAAAAGTTAATCATCGAAAACCACTCCAAGTTTCCAAAAATCAAATCAAAATCCCATAAATAAATCATGATATCATAAAATATTCTACTTATTTCCTCAACTCTTTCTAATATTAAAAGATCCAATTTTTCATTGTTGTAAGAAAAAGAAATACCCAAATGTGCTTCTTCTTGAAACTGCAACAATATTTATTAATATCAATCAAAACAACTACGAAAAAACAGCTTCAACAAGTACGTGCTTCTTCTTTGGGTACCCCATCCCGATTGCGTGGTTGATGTACACCTTTCCATCCTTCACCGTCGATGCAGTCACAAGTCGATGCTTTAACACCGGCGACCTCCCCACGATCGCCGCTGTTTCCCAATCATCATTGCTCTCCACCAACTTTACACCGTTGGCTCCGGCCACAACAAGTTTGGTCGGTGACAAAAGCTCCAATCCGTCCGCAATTGCCAAACTGTCATCAATCTTCACCACCGAAACTTGGTTGTCCTTATTGATTTCAACCTTGAAGAGATATCCGGTGAGAGTGTGAGCCACAATCAAGTAACCGTTGGGATGGTAGACAATCCCGTTGAGGGTAACCAAATCCTTGTACCACTCTTTCGCGTGGAAAAGAGGACTTTTTATGACGGATAATAGCTCGCCGTTTAGCCCAACCTTCCAGATTTTGGTACCTTTGGCATCCGTCACATATGTGTTTCCTTCTGCATCGACGGTTACGTCATCCGCAAACGTTTTCCCGTCATCTATACGACATAAAATGGTATATATGAATCTTTGGTATTTATGTTGATTTCATATATTTAATAATGAAGAAAAAAGGAGGATTTTTGGAAAAAGCAAGTCCAAGTCCAACCTGAGAAACTGAGGTGGGTGAAAAATAAGCGCTTCCATGAATCGAGATCATAGGCGGCGACGGCACTGTAAGTATTTCCCAGAACATCGGCGATGGCAACCACCACCCTATTTCTTGGCCGGTCGATAAATAGACCACAAGACCCGTTCCCTATGGCGTCTGTATTTTTGACAACGACGATCTCTTGCAGGACAGCGCCAGTCCTGTCATCCTCATCAGGTAGGGGGAGAACACCGAGACCTCCGCCGTCCATTAAGGAGACGATGAAGCGGCGGTTAACATGGTCCCATTTGGTTGATTCTCTGAGCCAACCGGTGCTATGGAAGTGGTAGTGATGAGAGATTGGAGTGGCTGATTCGAGGGAGATGATGATGGCGATTGGGATTGCTGATAGAACCAGAAGAAGCAAGAAAAACTTGGGGGAACAAAGAAAGGATGCCATGGAAGACAGAGGATGGAATCTGTAACTAAAAGGTTGGTGGAGACAGAGTAGAAAGTCCCAGGGAGGTGGTTGAAAGCAAATGCCAACTATTTAACATTTTTATATCGTGAAATTTTTTTAAAAAGAACCAAGTAAAACATCTATGGTATATTATAAAGTATTTGATAAAAACTCTTAAAAATTATTTTATATGCATGAAGTATTATTTATTGATCCATATTACTTAAAATTCAAGATTACAAATAGATTGTGCTTAAGTACAACTTATTAAAACTCTATATTTGAATTTTTGTAACTAACTGCAGATAAACACAATCAAATACACGATAAACATTTCATTTTAAATATAATTGGAATAATCATTAAATTCTAACAGAATACTTAATTTTTTATCTTTATAAAAATTATATTACTAAATCTAAATTAAATTATAATTAAAAATTTTGAATTAAGAAAATTACACCAAAACACAAGAACTTTTAATAAAATTAATTTGATACTGATATCGATATTTTTTTTTAAAAAAATTTATAATATTTTTAAATTTATATTTTATTAAAAAATAAAAAATTATCTTTCTCAAAACCACATAAAATCGTATTATATCGACATAAAAATGAATAAAACGAAACATTGAAATCAAGATGTGTTTCGATGCATTGCACAAGTACCTTTCTAGTATTATTTAATCCACCAATAGGTTCTTATTTTATCTTTCTCGATTTTATTTTATAAGTTGTACGTTTTTAAGAGAACATGAAGGTGTTATATTAATTGCCGATTTTATGAAGTATTTTATGGAATTAAAAGTGTCCAACGATTACCAGTTGTATAAAAAAAATCTAATATATATTTAAGAATCAAAATACATATGAATTCATGATTAAAGTGTTGTTTACTAAATACTTAAGTAAGTGTTTATCGGTTCAATTAAATTATCGGGTGAACATAACAAAGATTGAAAAGTTTGCCCAGTAAGAAAGAAGATAATGATTGAGAGTCTTACCCCCAGTAAGTGAGGGTGATGACTCTTACCTAACTAGTTGTGTACCCGTGCAATGCGGCGGGAGCCATGAATTTTAACGATTTTGAAGTTTCACTGGTTTTATAAGACAAGATTTAACGATGATATATGTTACACTTGATCTTTACATATTAATACAATTTGAATAAATAAGAGTTATGGTTCTAATTACATACTATCAATGAAAAAAATTGTATGACAGTTTAAAATACAATATATTTAAAATTCAACATATTTAAACGACTCCACAAATGTGTTCGATTTACACCAAGAGCAAAGAACCAAAAAATTTGAGTTTTAAGATAAACACTCAAAACCAATAAAGAAAACTACAAATTTGACAGATCATAAACTATGAAAAGACAAAAAAAAATGGGTTTTAGAATGAAATTTCAACTGCTTATCCTCTTTCTTGTCCAGAAGCTCAGATTAAGGTTGAATTAATACGTGTATATATATATATTTCAAAAAAACCCAAGAACATATTATACAGTGCAATTTGGACAGCCTAATCCCAAAATGTATAGCATATATATAAATAAATAACTATAAAAGTATGAATCGTAAACATTAAAAATATTTTTTCATAGTATATATAATATATAATAATATAATTAAGTCAAAAACTATTCAATATTAGACTCATTTCGAAGGTATTAACGAGACGATTATAATAGTGTAACTTGTTAAAATAAAAATGTATTTTTTAAACATGTTTTATGTGATATACGATTATGTATGTTAATTTGATAAATATTTAAAATGAAATATTTAAAAGTAAATGACGTAAAGTAATTAATTAACTAATTATAGAAATATAAAATGTAAATTTAAAATTATAATTTAAAAAAATCCGTTGAATGTGAGTGAATGTGAGAGGTAAATGTATGTGATGGGATGGGTGTATGTGAGGAGAGGAAGGAGTGAAATAGTGAAAAAGTGAAAAATGTATTTTGGTCATTTAGAATTTTAAGACATTAAAACTTTTGATGAATTTGCTTAATAAGATAGTATAGATAAATATTTATCGAGTTATGAACATATACTATCAATTCATTTTGATGATTAGAAGTCTTACTCTATAAGATAAATTAAAGAGACGATTTTTATCGGTAAATACTTACCTAGTAGACATTTAATAAAATAACCTAAGTTGAAATAAATAAATATAATATGTTTGGAAAACTGAACGTCACTTTTGAAAATTACTTTTGAAAATTTTAATGACACCCCATGCCAAATTAGTCAATTTTGGGCAGCCAAGGCCCTACAAGTTACTCTTATTGTTATCCTCTTTGTGCTTCAATTATTTTGCATTCAAAACGATGGTACACCCATAAATAATTGCATCATTTTTAGAGAGAAAAAAACCTAGAAAAAGGACTTAATGGGTTTTTATTTTTATTTTGAATAATTAAGTTGTTGGATATTTTTTTTTTATAAATAACTCATTAGACATCTTAAAAACTATAATATCAGTCGTTAACTTGCATAGGTGATTTTAAAAAAAAAAACCTAAATCCCAATCACCCTCAATCGTGTTCTCATTGTCATTGCCTCCATCGATATCAGTATCAAATTAATTATCTAAGATAAAACATTTTTCAGTTAAAGAATATACTGATAATTCTAAATTTAAAATTGATAGTCTAATATCAACCTCTAACGAAGAAAACTGTGTTGCATAGGAGAGCATGATTGTTGATTCCTACACGCTACATCTTAGTGTTGATGATGTCAATGATGAACTGGATAGAGAATAGGTGGCTACTTCGTATGGAAAACAAAGATTTCCTATGAAACAAGAGAATAAAGTAGAGGAGTGGGTTATCATGCACATCGGCTTTCCCAAATTGGTAAATGGGTTAAAAGATAGGGGTTACTTATCAAATGCTTACCGGGTTTATGGGTTACTTATTTTATCGAATGAATATGATAAGGATCAAGAGTTTTACCCCGTAAGAGCAATGATAATGATCAAGAGTCTTACACAATAAGTGAAGGTGACGACTCTTACCAATCAGCGTGTACAGTGTAAGCATTTGAATAAACGACCCTATTTAGTATCCGTTCATTTTTACCCCATGAGATGGTCACAAACTTGTCCTTCATAATCCAAGCCAATTTCCTCTTGGCATCAAGGGAAAATTCTTGATCGAATCGGATAATTCTTGATTCCGTTGCTCTTTTAAATGTATTCACTCAACTTATAAAACCCATAATAGATGTTTATGTTTAAGTTTATGTTTGTATTCTACCTAATGTGTTTGGTTTTCAACCATCAATAATTCAAAAACTGAACCATGTCGACACGCAATTAAAATGTAAGTATTTATATTGTTCGAAAATGGAGGTGATTTTCAATAGACAAGACTTTAACTATAGGGTTAAATGCATGGAATAACAACTTATTTTCATAATTTTCGTATTATAACATTCTGCTTTCATTTTTTCTTATTTACAACAATGTACTTTCAAATTATTTTTTATTAGGGACATCGTACTTTGAAAAATCTACCAATTATAGCAATAAGTAACTTGTTGCCTTTGAAACTGGTTAACCCTTTTATTTTTTTTGCTTGCTTGGTTCAATGAGGTGATATGGATGACATGTCATTTTGATGACATGGCTAAAAAAAGCATATTTCAAATTATTTTTAATGATCTTTCTTTTTCATTGCTAGGATTTAAAAAATATTTAATTTTTTTCTTTATTTTTTCTTATTAAATTGCATGCAAATTAAACATTTTAAAGTAAAATATTTCTTAAATAACTATGATATATTATTTTCGAGATAATTATTTTGTTTGTAAAATAAATAACACTTTTTATTTTATTTTGTTCAAAAAAAAGATCTTTTACAGGTTTTATTAATATGTTAAATAAGATAAACTGTAATCTACAATTTTTTTAATATTGTCATATTAATGAATAATCCAAAAAAATCTAATTAATTTAATATAGTTATATGTCAAGTAAATTTTTTAAACAAATATGATATATTCTCTAAAAGATAATATATTTTTTAGTAAAAGAAAATAACAATTCTTGTTTTCTTTTTTCAAAAATTACATATTTCTTAAATGCTAGTGAGATAAATTGTGTTTTACTAGTTTTATTAATTTGATATATTAATGAATAATTTAGAAATTTTTTAATTCATTTAATATACTTATTAAATAATATGTAAAATGCCTAAATAATAAAATATTAAAACTAAAAGTACAATGTTATAATAAGAACTGATAGATGCTATAATAAAATAATTTTAAAAATATAATATTGTAATAAAAAAATATCATATCATTTATAGTACATGTGAACAACCTACATGGACATTATGATGTAAAAACCTGATATAATATTTATATCATAATGAAAGTTGGATAAAAAAAAATACTATACTTTTCTTTTAGTTTAACACTCAAAACTTTTTTTTTTTTCCAATTTTTAAGTTTTGGCTAATTCTTCCTTCACTATAAATAATTCAACCTTCGTGTGAATTTATTCCTATAAATGTTTGGTCCGTATAACATGATCCCAAGTTTAATGAACCAAATGATTTTTGGTTATTCTAAATTTTCAAATGATAATTTTTTATACTATATTATAAAGCATTTGATAAAAACTCTTAAAAATCATTTTTTATACGTAAAGTACTGTTTATTAATGTACATTACTTAAAACTCAAGATTACAAATAGATTGTGCGCAAGTACAACTTATTAAAGCTTCATATCTGAATTCGTGTAACTAACTGTAGATAAACATAATCAAATACAGGATAAACATCTCACTTTAAATATAAAAAATCTAAAATATAATTAGGATAATCATTGAGTTCTAACATAATACTTATTTACTATCTTTATAAAATGTTATTTTATTAAACCAAAAATAAATTATTTCGTTATTAAGCTTAAATTAAATTATAATAAAAAAATAAATTAAAGAAAATTACATAAAAAATGAGAACTTTTAAATAATTGGTTTGATATTAACATTGATATATTTTTTTCAAAATTTTATGATATCTTCAAATTTATATTTTATACAAAAATAAAATCATTATTGTTTTCTTAAAAACACATAAAATGATAAAATCGTATTATAACATCAACAGAGACAAATAATAAAATAAAATATTAAAATCGAGATATGTCTCGCTATATTGCAGGAGTACTCTTCTAGTTAAATTTAAATCGTTTACCATTACCTAATATTTGTCACAAACATTGGTGGACTGGAGCCACATAGATGACAAGCCTACCCTCAATTCTAAATATATATAGGCCCATTAGTTAGACTCTATAGATGACCCAAAGTCCCAAACTACCCCCAAAAAATCCCTCATCCATGACCCAACTCCCCCTTAGTCTCAATCTACCCCCTCATCGAGACATTGACATGACGACCTAGGCTCCCGATCCTCTGCAGTACGACGGTGGTTTTGTCCTTGAAGTATGACTCTGAACAACATTGTTTTTCGTTGTCCTGTTGTCCGACACTATCAAGCAAAGCATCACGATACACACATCACATCGTTGTCCGCCGCTTAACAACCTTTTCCCAGTAGAAGCTTTGTATCACGATTCACGCCAACACATCAGTAATAGTTTCTTCACCTATCGTTAATCGATTAGCAGTAATCCCCTATGCATTTCAATTTACATGATTTATATCTATAATAATTTAGGGATCACATGATTTGTTTGTGGATTTGGTGTTTGTGAGTTTGGATATGAAAACAATCAAAAAGAGATGACTTTACTCATATCTATAAGCGTCCTCGATTAAATCAAGGATTGTTTGTTTAGGAAGTAAAATACTCTGAGAGGGAAGTAGTATGATATATTAAGTAACTGAAGATTTGAAGTTTGTTGACGGAAAGCACAATCAGAATAATCTTTTTAATTTTAATTAAACCAATCATACTATAAAAATGTTTATTCAATTGACATGTTCATTTTGTTGAAAGCCATGATGAATTTTCCTCTGTTATCTTCTTCTATGATAATAAAGACAATATCTGTAACAAGCTTTATAACAGGCAGCTTAAATGATCTTATTTATGATTCATCAGCTCCCATGCTGCTGTTTTTTGCAGGAGGTAGGTTGTGTAACAATTTTTTAGATGTTACAGTTGCACTATGCTTGAGATACAGTACAAGCAATAAGAATTTATAATTTAATGCAGAGAACCTATTCTCATATGGCTGTATCCTTGTTGATTAGCTTCTACAGTTGAACTAGAACATTTCTAACATATAATTTAGGTCATTATGGACAAGAAATTACATTATATACTCTCAGCTTCATCAAGAAACATTTTATAACTGTTATACATTCATCTAATAAATAAATTTATTTCCCTTAATTTCATTGTTGATTATTGAAATGCATTTAACACTTGTAAATGAGTGCAATAAATACTCGATTATTGAGTGTGGTATAATTTAAGATGCATGCCGAAATGGGAAACACCGATAATGTTGCAAAGAAAATTAAAACTATTTCACTAAAGAAAATGGCAAAACAGGAAGTACCTGGAAACAAATACAAGTGTTGTTTTTTTAAAACACAGTTGTCTAGTTTAAAATACTTGAAAACATTTTCTATTTAACTTTTGCAATAAATAACTCTTTTGTGCAGAAGAAAATGGTAATCACTTGAACTTACTTGTTTCATAAAACAGAGGGTGATTCTTGAGAAATTGTTAGGTCCCATAATAATTCAAGATTAACAAATTTATAATGCACAATACTACATAAACTTGTTAGTACTATTGCAACAGTTTGTCAGATAACTAGGATGCAACAAATGCATACATGGTGGCAACCAGTATTCCAGAATATATATTACATTCACTAGACGATTAAAAGTTTTTCTGCAAAACCATCTCATTGGGTTGCTTATTTTTAACCTTGTTGGATTGCTCAAAGTGGAATGTTGATTCCAAATCTTAATCGATAGGTTTAGAGCATCTCCAACAAATTCTTTAAAATGGAGATTTTTGTTTCAACAAATTTTTTGAAACCTTTTGAAATATGAAGAAAATAGGAGAAAGATGGTGAAATTCTCCAAATTTGGAGAATTATCCTTCCTACCATAAGAATCCTTGAAATTAAATGTATAGAAGAGAGAAATAATATTTTATAAAATATACTGAATATTTTAATAAATATAATTTATATCGTAATCTCTAAAAACGAAAAAACTGTTGGTGATAGACTAGACTTGTCCAAAACCTCTATTTACACTAAATGGCTCCACTACACTATTTTGAATCTGGGTGTTTGCATACTCGATCAAAAGGATGTTTAGAGGAAAATGTGTATTCAACAAATCCATTCTTCCAACCACATTCCACATTCCACATTTTATATTCAAATGCAATGATGCATAGATTGTATCAACAATGCAAATGATGGATCAATGTCAAGTAGTCCACCATGAATGAAAATGTTGGTGTTTGTGATGTGTATTAAGCAAGATGGATTTGTAAGATTTTAAAATTAAAATACTTATAATTATGATCAAATTAAGGTAAATATTAATTAGATTTGACTAATTAAAGGGCCATAAACCAATTTCCATGAATGTAAATCAGCAAAACATGAACATGTAAATCTGAAGAGAAAAACCTAATCTTTTTTCAATATTAAAAGAATCCAAAATCAGGGTTGGAGGTGTTGGGAAGAATAGCATCACAGAGAAGAGCTGATGTTGTTTGTGGCATCCAAAACCCAGAGAATAAAACATCGTTTCCTTTCTTAAAAAGGCTAAAAAAAGATTTTCTTCCCACATCCCCCTCTTCGTGTCGCAGCAGCAGATGGATAGATACATCCATCCTCTAAAGAGTTTAAGAAAAAGACAACGTCAAATCGCATGAACCTCGTTGGTCAAAGCATCGAACAGCTCTTCGATCATGAAACAGGCCAACAACGACACACTCTCTTAGAAAACTCTGTCCATCAATTTTCCCAACAAGGTAAAATACACGGGATCTTTCTTCATCTCTCGCAAGAATCTTGAACTTGCTCATTTTATCCCCCTTCTTTTTATCTAATGCTCCATGAAAGAATGCCAGCCAAGATCTTTTTACTGATCTTTGGATTTTTACTAAGCTATAACTTCATTTAATTTCACGAAACCCTGACAAACACGACTTGAGTGGGAGGGGATTCTCGAACGCGGAAAAGGATTCAATAACTTCGAAAGAATTGAACGAGGAGCCGTATGAGGTGAAAAGTTGGACTTATTGGATCCTTAGCAATTCATGCGAGGATTGGTCGTTGGGTCTCTAGAAAGTCCGTTTATTTATTCTGGTGTGGATGGCAGGCAGGCCTGTATTTCTTAGCCCTCGCTTCGTGTTCTTTCCAGTCAAGTCTTAATCTTGTGTATAATTTATTGATTACTATCTTCTTAAACCCTCAAGGCTTCCTGTTAAGTTCCCAAATATTTATGCCCAAATCTTGTTATAGAAATCTAGTCTCCTCATTCTTGAATTCATAAGTGACAATTACAGATATATCTGGTCATTCTTTTGGGATAATAGAGAACTTCTTTTTTGGTTTTATCAATGTTTTACTCAAATACACATAATCCATCTAGTTTTGAATCCTAAAGTCACTATTCTGACCATGGAAGTCTTGACTTATATTTAATATTGAAATGGAGTACTTATTTTTGGTGATTTTGATTATATCTACTAGCAGGCAATGATATTAACTAATTGCTTTAGGGACTCCGGTTTATCTTATTAAAGGATCTTTTTTTCTATTCTAGCCTTTTTCTCTACATATAGCAAACATTAGAACTGTTCAAGTATAATGTAGAATTTCTAGGACATGCTGTGGTGGTTTATGAAAGTCTGGGTTATGCTTATTTTGTTCTTGGAGATGTGGAAGCGAAGTAATCCTTATGGGGCAATCATGGTATTGTATTTAGGTTGCAGTGCATATTATTTTCAGAACATAATGGGTTAATCTTGGCCAATATCTGGAAGATTTTAAATTGTAACATGGGTTTGTTAATTTGTTATGAGCTTGGCTGTCTGATTGTGTGGTTATTATGCTGATTCAGGCAGTGCCTATACATGGATTTGGGACATCACACAAAGGCTTCATCGACAAGTATGCAACCATTGGGTTTTATAGACAGGCTGCATGCAAAGACTCAACATCAATCTGAAAGTGAAATTGGCCATGCTGTTGTAGCAGATATAGATGTAGACCTAAGAGAAATATACTTTTTGATTATGCATTTTCTATCTGATGGGCCATGCCAAAGGACGTTTACACAATTCTGCACTGAACTTATGGAGTATCAGCTTTTGCCTAAGAGATACCATGCCTGGTACTCAAGGAATGGGGAAGTTACAGGAGATAAAACTGATGATGGCATTTCTTTCCCTCTAAGCTATGATGGTGCTGCCCAAAGGTATTTCTAATGATTTTGGGATCATTTTCTCTTGCTTTAGTTGTGAATTTCAAGTTGTATGTTTTATTGCTAGTCCCTTTCAATCACATGTTACAATTCATAAATAACTGATACTCTAGCAAGGTTCATGATACCAAATCTATCTAATCTTTTGCTCTATCTACTCCAACAAGCTGATTTTTATTTATTTATTTGATGGAATCCGCTTACACTTGTGCAAACTTTTGTACCATGTAATCTGCAATCAAGATTGTACTTGAGAATTCTGCTTTGGTATACCACATGATTTTCTTTGTGCAAATAGAGCTTAAATAGTTGGTTAGTAGTATCATGAAAATGGGGATGAAGGCCAAACAGTTATGATGACAATGTGTTGATTTTTTTTTTGCTTTAAGGGACTGTCCATTATGAAGATGATTCATGTAAGCGAAACAATAGGGCTTCACATTTAATACCATGCTTTTTGAAGAACAAGGCTGTCTGTTTATAGAAATTTCCCTTTGTTATGTAATTCTTTGCATGGGTAACATTTAAGCTGGAAATGGAAAGAGAATTGTTGGGGAAACCACTTACTGTGAGAGGAGCTCATATGTCTTTTATCTATACATGGTCAAGGAGTTTGTAAACCATCATTCAAGGTCCTGATTAGTTATGCTATTGTGACTGGAAATTTATTTTGTAGATAATTCCATAAATGACTAGGACCATCTTCTACATCCATAGAAAGTAAGTTCGGTATTAATTTGGAATTCAGGGGAACGGTGTCTTCTGTTTACGAACTTCTTTCGTTTTGGCAAAATCCGACAACTTAGAATTTCCCTTTCTGTGTAGTTAATTTTACTTTGTATCTTTTACCTTTCTAAGCCAGTTGGATTGTGCAATTGTAGCAAGAAAAATTATTCCGTTAAAAGAACAGGCTTCTTAATTTCAGCTGTAATTGTTGATTGCCTCTTAAGTGTTATATATCTTTTATTTTTATTTTGATATGGAGATGACAATATTATAATTAAGTATTAATATATTATCATTGACTCTAAATTTGACCTTTTATGCTGACTTGGGAATGTATCACCTTAGGTATTCTCATATCGAAAAGGATCACTTGGTCAAGCTGCTGAAACAACTAATACTGCACGTGGCCCCATCACGGGGTATATTTGGAAGAACAGCTCCTACTGCTGCTGATGTTCCTACTCTGCTTGGAATTGGCGCCTTTTCACTTCTTGGATGTATGTCATTTGGACCCTTCTCTCTCATAGAAGTTTTACTTGATAGAAAAATTAGTTGGCTGCTTGATATTATTTTTTGCTACTGTACTTCCATTTATTAATTTTATGTTGATATATATATATATATATATATATATTCATAGATTGTCAGGCCAAGTTTTAGAAAATTGGTCTAATTTACAACCTTATCAATTCCGTGTTTGATTGTATTGCTTACCTTAAGATTAACACATTTACATCATAGTCAGCTGCAGCATCATTATAAATGCAACAAAGTTTAAATCTATAAACCTTACTTGTGCATCACGGTGATTAGCTATTAATTGGACGACTATACTAAAAAACTGTTTAGCTACTAAACAAAAAACTACTTGGCACAATTAACACTAATTCAATGAATACTTATTAAAAGATTAGAACTTTTTTATAGTAACTTACTAAAAATTAAAACTTTTTCATGAAAACATAATAAAAATCATAACTTTACGATATTAAAAAGCCAAGGTCACCCTTTTCATTACTAACTCAAGTGTTTCATCAATTTGACTAATTTCACATATTTATTCGATCTATATTGCTTATTTAGACAAATACACTCATGAAATTAACCCAACCCTCAACTAATCCTTGCTTATCCAAACTAAATGTCCTTGCACCTAAACTAATGTGTCTGAGGTCGGGGAATACCAATGGACTATACTCGTATTGCCAATCAATCACAAACGTAAACATCTAAGTATACATGAACACATAATAGATTAAGCATCCAAACCAACAATACCTGTCACATATTTTTTTTTTTTTCTTTTTTGAAGTATATAATATATTTTATATACGGGAAATGCAACAAATAAACTCACACACCCTCGTCACCATTGGTGAGATTTGAACCCCTGTCACATATTGTGCTCAATGAAATATTCATGGTCTTACAATTCAATGTCAAAACAGAATAATAGAAATCAATAAAGATTGAATTACACCTGGGTTTTCACTTTGGAATGACCTATGGGAATATTTATCCGCTCATCGTCACTAAAGTATATTTCCTTGAAGCTTCAATTGTCATTCTATCAACTTATTTGCATTAGTCTCGAAGAACAATGGAGAGAGGAATTGATGGGGAGAGGAGAGAGTATGGCTCTCTCTCCCTCCCTCCCTCCCTCCCTCCCCCTCTTCTCTTTCAACCTTAATTCGCTTCCAAAATCCTCCCAGAAACAATTTTTAACATCTTGTATGGGTAGTTTGAAGATTAGGATGGAAAGACTAAGCTACCTTCCATTAAACTCGAATTTTTTGTTGTTGTCAGCACAGTGACTCCAACTTTAATGTTGATTTCGACGTGGATGAAGATCAGGTTTTGTAAAACTCAAACATGAAAGTTGTAGCTCTTTCGTCATCTTTTGCACCATCTTGAATCTCCTTCCTAGGTGTTTAAATGAGTGAGATCTGATCAAAACGCTGCATCATAGTAAAGCTATCCAGCAGCCTCCTTTTGGTTTAATTTGTCTGTTTCTTTGATTATATCTATGTAGTGAAAACCTTGGTTTAAGGTGTACATAAACATTAAATTTGATGAACGAATTTTCTCTTAGCCTATTTGTAGCTGGAGAGAAATTTGTTAACTTCTTAAAGGTGCAAAGGTTGATGTCATGGATGCTCCAAAATGCTTTCAGGCATTTGCATGAGCATAAGGCTCATCCCCAGTTTTGATGCATAGGAAAACATAAACATGAAAGGGCACCGATGCTTCTCGACTTGGCATTAATTGTGCAGGAAAGTTTTTGTGTGTAGCATTTCTCCTGGTTTCTTGCCAAGATGTCGTTTTGTGATTCAAATTTGTGGCCTTCTGGTCCGTAACATCGATGAATATAATTCTTTGCATACTTGGAGTAAGAAGTGATTTTGTAAACTTTTCTGGAGTTTGTAGGCATATACATTGATTGCACAAATGGCTTTGCACTCCCTTACTACTTCATATTCCAAAAAAGTGAAGTTGTCTGGATACAATTCAGCTGCATGCATTATTTTGGAGGGTGTAGTAATGCATAATGTACACTCTCTACATTATCATTCTCCTAACACTTAACATATAGTCGGCTATTCGAATGTTTTAGCTTCTCCAGCTGGTTGATTTGGTGATAGGGGCCAATTACTCGATCCTTCCATGTTACACCATCCTAAAAGATTCAGCAGCTTCTGAATTCCTTCATTTTGAATCTTCTGTTTTGCATGCTGGATTCTTTGTGTTTTTCTTGACGTGACTTCGCGATCCATTTCTGATTGTTATATTATGTTATATAGGCACCCAAAAGGAGGTGGATGTACATGTTAAGCCTCTGCCTGCATATCTACGTTGGCCTCACATGCAGGCTGATCAGGTGCGCGGGATAGGCTTGAGAGAAATCGGAGGTGGTTTTCCGAAACATCATCGTGCTCCATCCATTAGGTTTGCATGCTATGCCATTGCTAAACCATCAACTATGGTGCAAAAGATGAAAAACATGAAGAAGTTAAGAGGACACCGAGATGCTGTCTATTGTGGTACGACAACAATTCCCTTTTTGGCTTTTATGAACATTTGACCCTTTATGGTTTGTTTTAATAAAGTGGATGGAATTATCTTGCCTTGTGCTGCTCTTGTTATGAATTCATTTATAATACTCGAATACGGGATCTGTACTGCCTGGCTTTGGTTTTCAGCAATATTTGATCGCTCGGGGAGATATGTGATCACGGGATCAGATGACCGATTAGTCAAAATTTGGTCTATGGAGACGGCGTTTTGCCTTGCTAGTTGTCGAGGACATGAAGTATGTTAGATTGTCTACATAGCTGATGGTGTTGTGTATGCAAGAGATCTCTTTCCTGTTGTTGTCTTACCATGTTTATTCCTACCATCCAGGGTGACATTACTGACTTGGCGGTAAATTTAAACAATACTTTGGTGGCATCGGCATCAAATGATTACAATATTCGCGTTGTGAGTATTATGCGTACCAACATAAACGTTCTGGTCTTGCTTTTTTTTTTTGTATTCATATCCTTGGTGCTGGTTGTGAGTTGAAGTAATTCTGTGTATTCTAGTGGCGTTTGCCAGACGGGCTGCCTATTTCAGTTTTGCGGGGGCATACAGGTGCTGTTACTGCCATTGCATTTAGTCCAAGGCACAATTCTGTTTTCCAGCTTTTATCGTAAGTATCTTATAATGTACTCCTGTTTTTTGTTCATAAATTATATATTGATGGAATGTATATATTATATTGATCTTATATCAATTTGGCCTTCTACAAATTGAGTTATCACATTACTCAATCGTCTTCGATAAATGCAGGTCATCTGATGACGGCACTTGTAGGATTTGGGATTCTAGGTATTCCCAATGTCGTGCACGCATTTATGTCCCTAGGCGGACAGATGATGTTGCTGGTTAGTGGTTGAGTAATGGTTAATTTCATTTGTTTGTTGATATCTGATTAAACTCATTGGAACATCGAATCCTTTGTAGGGGGTAACAATGGTCCTTCCTCAAGTAATGGTCCTTCATCAAGTACAATATCACAAAATAATCAAATACTATGTTGTGCTTACAATGCCAATGGAACTGTTTTCGTCACTGGCAGCTCTGATACATTTGCTAGGGTACATACTCGGTCACAAAACCTAAGCACTGAAGTTTTTTTTCTTTTTCATTTTTGTCTATGTGAATGACAACATCTACAGCAGAAGGCTCTTTTGAGATAGTTGCTTTTATGTTCTACTGGTTCAAGTAAATGTCAGTAATCGGTCTCTCTAAGAGGGCGGCATTTTCAGGTTTGGAGTGCTTGTAAGCCGAATATAGATGATTCACAACAACCAACACATGAAATTGATGTATTGGCCGGTCATGAGAATGATGTGAATTACGTACAATTCAGGTTTGTAGGCACTTGCCCATTGTCTATATGTTTCAGAAATTACATTTTTTGGAAAGAATGTTTGAGAAATACATTCACCTTTTGTTTTTGCAGTGGCTGTGCTGTGGCTTCAAGGTCTTTGACGTCAGACTCGACAGATGAGAAAGTACCAAAATTAAAAACTTCGTGGTCAGTTAATTACACCATTTCATTTCTGAAAATTTTATGTTCCACCATCATAATCTTTCTACTCCTATTGTTCGAAACCAATTATTTTTGTTTTAAATTCAAATTTGAGCAGGTATAGCCATGACAACATTGTTACCTGTTCCCGTGATGGTAGTGCAATTATTTGGATTCCAAGATCACGTAGATCTCATGTAAGTTTCAGGATATATACAACTCTCGTTTTTACTTTCTAATGCTTTTGCATGGAGAGCTTTAAACATATTATACTCTTCTCCTTCTTGTGCCTCTAAGATTGATGTGACCTATCTGGACAAGTGTTTATTCCCTTGATACTCATCGTGAACTGATTAGAAAAGTCCACAAGAAATAAATTAGTTAATAAAAATCGTGATAATTTGGTATTACTTGGCTCAGTTCTTATGGTATGCAGTTTGATTGTTATACCAAATCACGTCATCCGAGTTCAGTTTGTTAAACATGGTAATTGACTTGTTGCAGGGAAAAATTGGACGCTGGACACGAGCATATCATCTCAAAGTCCCCCCTCCACCAATGCCTCCTCAGCCACGCCGAGGAGGTCCACGACAAAGATTCCTTCCAACTCCTCGTGGGGTTAATATGATTGTATGGAGTCTGGATAACCGTTTTGTGCTCGCTGCCATCATGGGTAATCCCTTTCCACTTTTTCTTTGATCTTCCAAAATCGACTTTATCCTAGTATCAAGTATATTAGCAATATGGACTTTATCCTTAACGAGGACTGCATCTATATAAAAGTATCTCTTATTCCATGTGGAGATGCCGCTGATGCCCTTTTCACCACCTACTCTTGTTGACATATTTAGTGATTAAAAGGAAAATAATTCAGGTGCATATAGTTAGCGTCAAACATTGACAATTCCAGAACCGAAGGGAATAAAGTAATGCTAATAGAAGTTTCTGAAAGTTGCTGTGAACTATAGTCTTGGTTGGTCCTTATATAGGTAATTGAAGAGAAAAAGAGGCTTCTCAAAAGCGGAGCTCATGATTAAGAAAATATGCCAACACATAGATCGTGGGCTATGTCCAAGATACATAGACCTAATTAGAGACATACCAATAATACTAGAATCATAATGATGCATTTAACACCCCTGAAGTTGCAGCATATGTGTCGAACATGGCCTATTTGGCACATATATGGCTAAACTGGTTGTATGGATTCAGGTTTCATAAAAGGTTCCTTCAAAAATTTTGTTTGTTTCCATCTCTTTCTAAATTTCTTTTTATATTATTTAATTAATATTTTTTTTTTCAAAACCGTGGCATCTTGCTTTGCCCTCCAGTTATTTTTGCAAGCCAGATCTTTGTGCCATGACATGATATTCTAACAGAACACTCATGACCGGGATTTCTAAGATGAAAAGTGTTATGGCTAATTTATTATGGGAATAAAGTCTTTAGTCTTTCTTTGCTTGACAACAAAGGCTGAAACTCTTCCTGCCAAAAACAAGGGTTTCTTTTTTGTCGGGAGCACTCAAATTTATTGTTTTCGCGCATTAAGCTCAGGATGAAGTAGCCAGTGAAGTTTGCCCTCATAAACCAAAGAAATTGATAGTTAACTGTCCGAAAGCATTCAAAATGTATGACTTTTCCATAATATAAGATTCTTGCGAAACTAGGGAGCATGGTGTTCCTACCCCTTGTTGAATCCATGTATCGAGTGCTTTGGGTTGCAGTTCTTTAGGATTGCATTTGCTTTGTGCTCCTTGTGCCACATTGACTGTACATGAATTCTCAGAGATACAAGAATCTATATGCACATGGGGATAATTTCAATCTTTCTTCTGCCAAAAAAACATTAAAATTCACAATTTGCAAAATTTCTAATGAAGGTTAAAACAAAAAAAAAAATACTTGAGTTGTATGACTGCGAAAAAAGAAAAATACAAGACGATAGAATGAATTATTTTTCTGATAATTTGGACTATTATGGACACACTAAGTGAAACCAAAATCATGATTACACTTGGGTTTTAGTGTGTATATGTCTTACATATTTAATCGATGAATCATGAAATACCCTTTCGTTTAATAGTTTAGTTTTAGCTTTGTTCATATATACACATATATAAATGCACCCTTGAATCCTTGCAACATAGTTGCCAGTATATACACGGTATTCGGTATCGTATGCTGGTAGAACTGAAGAGAAACGATATCCTGCTTGAATGGCCCTACTAGATGTGTCATCAGGAGAGGGGAGAAACCTACACCAAGACTTCAGGAATACTCAAAAATGGATGAAGCATGCTACTTTGGAGATCTTAGAGACAGAGAAATATAAGGGCAAGATTCCGGTGTAGAACAAAGCATCACCAAAGAGATGGATCATAGCAGCAATATCCTTTTTAACAGTGAGAATACCCTGGAAAAGCACCTTTGTGCCTTGGCATCAAGTTTCTAGTATTGCGCCAAAGAAACATACACAATCAAATATTATTTGAACTAATAGTAAGTGAAGGAGTATTTGACTAGAGAGACTGGAAGGTTAATGCTCCTTGTAATACTTTGGAAGGCATCCGATTAGTTAGGTAGCACACGGTAAAAGGGGCTTCCCCCAAAAATTATAGGGAACACCCGGATAAATGAACAAAATGCGACTAAAGTCTAATGCGTGTTGATTTTTTTAGTAACTCTATTTTGCTGTAGACTTTATACACATAGGGATTCATGTAAAATGCCAAAGCACTTCCATGAACTTTGTGAACTCATTTCAGAACACTTTTCACATCATCACTCCGAAGGCTTTTAGGCGTTACACAATACTAATTTTGAATATAGACACAAGATTTTACATAAACAAAAATAAGGCAAATAACTCGAGCATAATCATCAACAAACATTAATAATCTCGCATTATATGCTAGGTGGATAAGGCGGACGAGTTTGTTTCAACAACTCCCAGACGAAACCAAGTCACCGACGGCTATTTAGTCGTGACCAATGACTACAAAAAGATCATGGTCGTCTAATGCGGTTAGGGTTCTATGAAACCTAGGGTTACGTGACTACTAAGGGTTCATGAAGGCTAGTGGTGTGACAAAGGGTTTGCTATGGCTAGATTGGCACGATAGAGGGTGCACAACTGCACATTGGCCGAGAGTCTATGACGGCTAGGTTTGCGACACCACCAGCGTGGATGGCAGCAGAAGAGGCTGCCGATTTAGGCATTCAGAATGATGGTGTGTGGGCAGTGGTTTGGGGTTTTTCGGTGGTGGATGGCAGCAATAAAGTGGTGGACTGATGGTGGGTATTAGGGTTTACATCAAGAGCTGTATCAATACCATGAAGAGAAATATAGGTTCTCAAAAAGCATCTCTTTATTAAGACAAGATGCCAATATACAAAGTACATGATGATCCATGGGCCTGACACATAAAAACCTCATTCGGGACGTACTAATGATACATGTAGCAGTATGGCCAATTGATGCATAAAGCATAAATGGATGTTGTGTATGCAGCAACTGTATATTCAATTTTCTTTGTTAATTTAATGTGTTTTTTGTTCAGATTGCAGGATATGTGTTTGGAATGCTAGTGATGGCCGCTTGGTACATTCCTTGACTGGTCATAGTGATTCTGTAAGTTGTGCAGCACTTTGAGTTTTTGCGATTTCAGTTGTTTCACAAACGGACTGCTCAAATTTCAAATAGAAATGCTATTTTTATGGTTATCTTGGTTCAATGGGGTGGAATGCAAGTGATCTATCGTCTTCTCATCTTTCTTTGTGATTTTCCCTTTGAGTTTCCTGCAGACCTATGTTTTGGATGTTCATCCTTTCAATCCCCGAATTGCAATGAGTTCTGGATATGATGGGAAGACGATAATTTGGGATGTAAGTTTCTAATTTTTTGGGACTCTCTTATATGTGTGTGATGTTGCTCCGGTTTGATGTGCTGATTTTCATCATATTTCTAGATCTGGGAAGGCATGCCTATTCGCATATACGAGATTGGACGTTTTAAGCTGGTTGATGGAAAGTTTTCCCCGTAAGTGATGCATAAAGAGCATGATGAGTTTGCTATTACTAATTTACCATCACTTTTCTAAGTCAGCATCTGACTTATTCCCCCTTTGGATTCCATTAGTCCCTGTTTCTTTCCGGTATGGAAAAGTTACGTTTCTTCTATGTAGACGTTGACATGTGTTCAATTGTAATACAGGGATGGGACTTCGATTGTACTTTCAGATGATGTTGGGCAAATTTACTTGCTAAATACAGGGCAAGGAGAGTCCCAGCAGGATGCCAAATATGATCAGGTAGATACTAAGCACACTTGGCGATGATATCTTTCGGTTTATTAATTTCGTTCCTGCTTTCAATTGTTGTGTTCACAGTTCTTCCTTGGTGATTACCGGCCTCTTGCAAGAGACGCACATGGAAATGCCATTGATTTGGTGAGTTCACGATTGTGTTGGTTGTTTGACCTCAAGTCTAGAAATTTATATTTTATCTGATAGTACACATCTCATGCAGGAGACGCAACTTCCTCCCTACCGAAGGAATATACAGGATGCTCTTTGTGATTCAAGTGTGTTAATGATTCAGCTTATTTCTATAGCTTTGTAAGATCTATTGGTTTATATTTTCTGACGCTATTTTTGTTGATGGGTGTACACTAGGCATGCTTCCATATCCAGAACCTTATCAGACTAATTACCAGAGACGTCGGTTAGGTGCACTGAACTTGGAGTGGCGCCCTCCATCCTTAAAGTTCGCCATTGGCACGGATATCGGTTTGGGTCAAGAATATCAAATATTACCTTTGGCCGACTTAGATGTAGTGGCTGAGCCACTACCGGAATTTTTAGATGCGATGTTCTGGGAACCAGAAAATGATGTGATCGTTGATAGTACTGATTCAGAGTACAACGTTACTGATGAATACTCTAGTGATGAGCAAGGAAGTTTAAGTAACAGCTCTGTCGATGGAGAGAGCAGTGGAGGAAACAACATTGATGATGGGAGTCACAAAGAAAGCCGTCGACGGTCAAAAAGAAAGAAACCCAAGGATGTAAGTAAATTTCTTATAGCGGTCTTTTCTTCATGGCTAGTCCCAACCTACTAAATAATGATAAACCTGGTTTTTTTCAGTTAGAATGGACGTCTATGTCTGGAAGGCGTGTTAAAAAGAGGAATTTTAATGAGCATGAAGGGACTTCATCTCGAAGTAAGCGAACAAAGAAATCAAAAAGCAGCCGCAACAACTCGAAGAGAAAATCTTGCCAGGTGACGCCATCAAGACCTCAGCGATCTTCTGCACGAAATGGTAAGAAGTTTTCATTTGGAAATGAGAAGGATGATGACTTTTCAGAAGATGATTCGTCAGAAAGCGAGCCATGTATTGGGGAGGGAAAACCTGTGTCTTTAGATGAGACTGTGAATGCTGTTCCACCAAATGAGTCGAGAAGGAAATTGGTATTGAAATTCTCATTCCCCAAGAAGTCAGCAGCTTCTGAAAATACCATGGATCAAGGCAACAACCAGACAACCTCTTCGAGACTTGAAGAAAGCTCAACACCCATCAAAGAGGAGCTGTCTGAAGACCACAATACAACTAGAGAGAGAGAAGAGAATGGTAGACCACATGATCGAGTTGAGGCATCAACTGGGACAAATGGGTCGGATTTTAGACGCAAGTCTACTATAATAAGAATTAAACATAACATAAAAGTCGATTCTGATGTCAAAGTCTCGACTAGTGCTGGAGATGACTTAACAACAACAACAATGGGCGAGTGTTCTCAAACGAAAACACAAGTGGATGATATTGCATCTCAAAAGAGAAAGCCAATCAAGTTGAAGTTAAGCTACCATGGTGATGGTCGAATGGTAGAAAATCCTCTAAACACCAAGAATAGTGATAATTTGACAGAAGCTGATTCATCCGAGACGGCAGCTGATGCAATGCGTAGAACAAGATCACTGAAATCTAAAGCCAGTTCTCGTGAAACGAATGATGCACCTCAAAAGCACAAAGTGCGCTTATCAATGAAGACACCAAGGAGTGAAGAGAAGTCCGCCAAGAATCCTGTACCTCTGATTCCTTTCAGTAGTTGTATGACTAGTGCTTCAGGAAGCAAGTCAGATGCTGAACTTGGCAAAACCAGTTGGCTCTTATTGTGTAGTCAAGAAGAGGGAGGCCGTTACATCCCTCAGCTGGGTGATGAAGTTGTATACCTGAGACAGGTAACGAGAATTCATTATTTTAATTTGTGACCGAGACCCTTATTTTATTCGTAATTCAGTATTTCAGAGAATCTTTTTTCCTTTTATTTTTCAGGGTCATCAGGAGTACATAGACTCATGCCACTCGTCAGAACGTGGTCCATGGATGTTATTTGGGGAAAACATCAGAGATGTGGAAATTTGTTCGGTTGATGATGTTGATTATGCTGCTCTTGCTGGCTCTGGGGAGAGCTGTTGTAAAGCTAAGCTTAGATTTGTTGACCCTCTCTCTAGCGCGTTTGGTAGAACATTTAAGTTGACTCTGCCAGAGTTGCTCAACTTCCCTGATTTCTTGGTTGAGAGAACACGTTATGAGGCTTCCCTTGAAAGAAACTGGAATTCAGGGGATAAATGCTCTGTATGGTGGAGGGATGAGGAGGGAGGTGGAAAATGGTGGGAAGGCCGGATTGTTTCCATCAGTGACAAGTCAATAGATTTTCCTGGTAGTCCATGGGAAAGATATTTTGTTACGTATACGGTCGATGATAATGTCGACCCTTGTCGGCACAGTCCTTGGGAACTACATGATAAAGATAGTGAATGGGAGCAACCGGGGATCGATCCTGAGATCAGAAAGACGATGCTCGCTTTGCTTTCTAGGCTAGAGCAGTCAGCTAGGGGAAATCAGGTAAATCTAGTTTATACGGGTTTGTCTAATTGCAAAAGCAGACATGGGTTATTGCCACAAGAATCAATTGCAAAATACTTGCAGCAGATAGTTGTGTACGATTCCCGCGTCTGCTTCTGGCTATAGAGCAGCCCTTTTGATCATAATTTGGTCTTCCATCACATTCTAACGGGTCGATTGTGGAATTTTGCAGGACAAGTATGGGATTATGAAGGTAAAGCAAATTTCAGAGAGGTTAGACTTTATAAACAGGTAAATATGCCGACTTCTATTGCTTCCATCCGTTTGTCTTTGGAGGTCAACTCTACATACTCAAATTTTAGCATAATTTCTATTTGGCTTTCCACCATATTTACTTGATAAACTGAACCTTTCAGGTTTCCGGTTCCATTGACTCTTGAGATCATCGAGCTGAGAATAAAGAACTTCTATTATAGAAGCTTTGAAGCGATGAACCATGACATCACAGTGATGCTATCAAATGTTCGTACTTATTTTGCAAAACATGAAGAAATGTCGGCAAAGATGAGACGTCTTTCAGATTGGTTCGAAAGAGAATTGTCAAAGCTCTAGAAGTTCCTTTTGTAACTTAGGAACAGATGCATGAACGATAAAATACAAAATATATGTAACAGTAGTTCATAGATAGGCAGGCACACATCCATTTTTTAAGGATGAATCTTTCAATTCTTCTTTTAACGTTTCACTTTTTTGTTGAAATCAAATGGAGACAATGTTCGAGTTTAATTCAACTATGTACTCGACAAATGAATATAATTCGAATATCATTTTCTGCTGTGGAGATCTTCAATCACTTTCAATACCTTCTGCTCGTTTAGTGGTTTAGATACATGAATATCGATTCCAGCTACAAACAGCTTGTTTAGTTCTTCGCCTTCTGTATGAGCTGTTAACCCGATGATGGGGGCGTGCACGCCATAATCTTTCTCCTTCAATCTTATTTGTCTTGTTGCTTCACAACCATCCATCACCGGCATCTATGAGATTATAAATTTTCATCATTTGGTAGAACAAATTTTCTAACCGAAAAAGACCAGGGAATGAGAAGAAAGTTGGATTACCTGATAATCCATTAAGATATATTCATATGGTAGAATATGTGAAGCTCCAAGATTTCTTTGATCACTCAGCCCTTTGGAGACCATAGTCAGAGCTTCTTTCCCATTTCTGCATGTCTCAATAGTCACACCATGCTTCAAAAGGATCTTCTTGGCGATCGTCTGTTGCACAGCGTCATCTTCTGCCAGCAACACTCTTTTCCCTCGCAAAGGGCTACTACTGCTGGGAGAAATCCGAGCTATTTCTTGTACTTCCAACTGTCTGCTTGGTGGATGATGATTCTCTTCTTTTGTTCCAGCTTGACGCTGATTTGGTGGGCTAGAGAACTTACCTCCAAACTCTGGGAGAAGACCGATCAATGAGTATAAACGGGATCCATGGAGTGGCATGGGTATGATGATATCAGAGGGGGGGAGCTTCTTTTCATCCAGACCTTGGAGTTGGATGCACCTAGAACCTAACCATACAACTCTAGAATTACCATTTTTGGAGTATTTTCTGAATTCAGCCGTTGTCCTACATAGCTCACGGAAGTCCGCCTTGGTTGTGTCAATCACAAGCAATATGAAATTCGATAGACTTACCGTATTAGTCGTTCGGATTGGTGACATATCAGTCCCATCCAGGGAACTTAAAGGAACTTCCCTTGATCTTGTATTCGAGTCTCGAGATGTGGGCCAGGTCAGGTACCCGAAACTTAAATTTAAATCAGATTTGGAAGAGCAATCATTTTTCTCTTCGCGTCTAAACTCCCTGAGAGTTTCTGAAAGTTGTCTTGTGTTTTTCACTGCGACAACTTTTATCCCTTGGGCTGCTAGAGAATTTTGTGCCATCTTCCGCCTTCCATCACCAGTCATGAAGAGAACAACTATAGAAGAATTATGATCTAGTTGTCTGGGATGATGTAGAGGAGTGTTTGACCCTGCCGACAAGTCTCCAGGGGACACAGTCTTTTCGTCTTCGCTAAGGCTAATTAGACCAGATTGACAAACCTTAAGGATAGCATTGAACCTGAAGCATGTGCCCTTTTCCCCTACTTCCTTGTCGACTATGCTTATCTCTCCACCCATCAATTGTACCTGTAAATGTTCAACATTAAAATCCTTTTGTGTGATTAAAAGTATAACAAATAACTTGAGGTAATCTTTAGATGATATGTTACCAGAGATCGGACAATTCCAAGGCCTAAGCCAGTGCCTTCAAGTTGAGGACCAGTTTCTTTAACCTGAACATAGTTTTCAAAAATGGATGCTTGTTTCTCTTTCGGAATACCCTTTCCAGTGTCATCTACTTCAAATACAAATTCCATGAAATTAGGATCATGCCGGACTTCATCTATGGCTTCCAAGTCACCGTGCACTTCATCATTATTAGAAAAGAAGCACGATAAGCATCTTCTAGATTGATTGTGTGAAGAATCAAATGTCGAGTTCTGCAATCTAGGCTTCCTGACCCAAGCTCGAACAGAAACATAACCCTCTGAGGTAAATTTGATAGCATTGCTCAGTAAGTTTGCTAATATCTGCTTAAACTTGCGTTCATCGCCTTTGACTAGAGAAAATTTGGTCAAAGAACCATCTTGGAGGTCCAAGATCACATCCACTTCCTTTTTCAGACCAACAGGATAGAACAAGTCAACCACACTCTCGAGTGCATTTGCCAAGTCGAACTGTTTTTCTTCTAGCTGCATCTTTCCAGCTTCGATTTTACTTGTATCCAGAATAGAGTTCAATATACCTGAGAAGGATCTAATGTTTGAATTCACATTTTTATGATTTAGTTATCTAAAGATATCAAATCACTAAAAGCTTACTCTTAAGATCTCTTGTACATTTTTGCATAAGTCCCATGTGTACTGCTAACTCTGATCCTTGCTGGACATTGCTGATGGACAAATCTAACAATCCAGCAATGCCTGCTAGCGAAGCACGAATATCGTGGCTTGCAGAAACAAATGCAAGACTATGATTCTTGCTCTTTCTTTCTGCTTGTTGTGTTGCTTCCTTTTGTTTTATAAGGGCAGCTCTTAGGCACATCTCTTTTCTTGATGCTCTCACTGTTAACACCACAAAACTGAAGATGGAGATAGCTACGATAACAAACGTTGCTGAAAGAAGCGCGAATACAAATATGATATTTTTATGCATCCTGCTTGGCAATCCTTCATATGGTAATGCTAATACATACACCTGAAAAATTCCCTAATTGATGTCAAGAAAATAAATAAATACGGAAAGAGAATGTACATCGTCTATAGAGCATTATACCAGTTGCATTCCAATGATGTCAACCGAGGAAGAGTACAACGTGTATTTTGTTCCTGGAATGTCCAAAGTATACGCTTGTGGCGTTTCATAGTTAAGTTGTAATGTGATGCTACCACTTTGATATCCATCTGCTTTCCATAACATAAAAGAAAATGTTCCATTTCCATTAAGAACCATCCGGGTGTTTGGTATTCCTTCGGTTAGTACCTTCCCATCTCTCGTAGCCAAGTACAGACCTCCACCAAGAGGTTTAACGCTGGAGAACACATTTATCAACGATTTGAGCTCAAACCCGAGTGAGATCACTCCATTTTTATCCACACCAGCTGTATTCAGAACAAGCAGATTGTTGACATCATTCAACGACTTCCCCAATGAAGCAAATCCATTTCTAGTGTTCAAGGCTTGTTGTAACCAGGTTTCATTAATCAAAAGTTGAGGTGGAAACACAACAGCATCTCCATATAACTTGCCTGTATCAGAATTAACAGGCTGAGTGTACCACAAATAATGAAATCTGGATCTTGTGGCCTTCGAAAACGAAGTATTACTATAGATGGCAACGATTTGGTGGTGGTCTTTGGAGTACAATGCAAAGAACAAGCCATCTTGTCTGATATACGAGATCTGTGACAGATGTGGGATCGTTACCATTGCTTGGAACAATAAAGGAGCCACCTTTAAACCAAAAGAAAATCAGTTTTAGTCATTGTTAATTTCTTGGATTTTATTTGAATCAAGTAATCAATCTGGAAATGAAAAGGGAACAAACCTTGGCTTGGATATCATAGAATGTGATGTCTGTTTCAGTCAGCGACATGTTTGCAACTTTGGCTAAATTGGTTGCAGATGATTTCATCGGAAGCAATGTAGTAGTTGCTGCATTTTGTATGACAGACCATATCTCTTGATGAGATTTCTTGGTGATCACATCTACTTGCTTTTCAACTTGTTTGATCTTTGAAACCCCAAATGGGATGAATGAGGTTGATAGAAGCAGCCCGATGAGTGCCTACAAATTTCATTGACATAAGGGTCACCTAACCATCATTCCAAGTTGAAAACATGCACAAGATTATCGAGATATATAATCACGTACCAGTAGGATGAAGCAAAAGAATGGCCTTGATGTGATCATTTTGTGGAGCTTCATGCAAGTTTTTTAGATTGTCATCAATGGTGGGAGGACTGCTATTCCTGCACTGTGATCGCAAATTAATTTCAAGATTTGGGAAAATATTTAAGAGATGAAAACCAGCTAATCTTTTTTTATTTTATAAATATTATGTGATAAAATCAAAATTTGAATAAGCTTAGACCAATTCTTGGTGGTGGTTTTTTTTTTTAAATTTCAAAAAAATAGCATTACGAATAAATCTTTGTAATTGGAAACAAATCAATACAAATAATCATCTTAATATTGTTAACATAAAAACCATAATTCAAATTCAAATATTTTTATAGCAAGGGGTATTTCTTCATTATAAACACATGAATGTATTAAAAATATAATTAAAAGAAAAATCTGAACGTTGGCTTTTTAAAATAATATTTGATAGTTAAAACAGTATCAATTTCTGTTTAATATTCATAAAAAAATTACTTTTTCCCCCTACAAAATGACACGAAATCAAAAACTAATAAATACAGAAATTGCAATCGTGGGTATTTCCCGATTGCGGTTTTGCATTTTTGGTAAATTACAACCACAAAATCTTTCATATTTCTAAGTGTAATAAAAGAAGAAATGACAACCAATTAATTAATGTGGGATCTCATTTTCTAAAACAATCTCCAATTAATTCAATTTCTCTTCAATATGCATTTTCTAGTTCAAATCATATATTAGTTTTACCATCACTTGTTTAATGTCGAACACTGATTGAAAATAAACCGAACGATATATTGTTTACGATCTTAGATTTAAAGAAACAAGTAACGATGTCACTTGAGCACCATTTCTAAGCTTTTTTAATAGTAATAAGTTCAAATTTTCCAAAATTAGTAACGATAACTTACAACATGTCCTTAATATGCAATTTCTGAAAATTAGTGTCTAGTTTTGTTTACTGTTGAGATTATAATGTAGCTCATACGGAACATTCGATATAATAATCGACATGCATCTAGTGTTTTATCTCGTTTATTTATGAGACGCATCCATCGAAAGTTTCTAAATAAGATTAAGCAAATAACCGATCTACGTACATAAGACGGACATCCTTCCATATCTTAATAGATAGTTTGCCTTATAACCATTGGTAAACCTAGAGCTTGATTAAGGGGATATATTGTTTCGATCCCCAATATAGTTATGGTTTGTGAGTTGACGTATGCTTGTTAATTCTTTTTGTTAATTGTCAGGGTTTATCAGTTGATACCTAATTGTTAGGGTTAAAGTTTATTATCAATTGATGCCCAATTGTTTTTTTTTTGTTAATTATTAAGGTTACGATCTATGCCTGATTACATGACCATGACCTTAATTCCGATCCCCATCACCAAAATTCTTGAATTCGCCACTGCTTATAACAGTGAATAGATTATTATATCGTTAATCTAGCAGGGTTTATGTGGTTGAATAACAAATCGATCCATAATTTGGTGGTTAAGCATATCGATGCAAATCGCGAGATCATGATCCGACCTTGTTTGCCAGATAAATAAAGAAACAACTTCATTTTATTGGGAAAAACTTGTTCAAACATGAAATGCACCTTTATCCCAAATGATAAATAGATCCAACTCAAAAACAAAAACACAGATTAATGTCGTTAGTTGTATTTGTATATATATATATATATATATATATATATATGTTGATGCTTGAGGGTGTTTTTTGTATTTAGCACGTAGTTTAGTTTTATCTTGGTCCTTTTTCATATTTTTTTGAAGTATATAATAGGTTAACTTGCAGATCATATTAATTTCATATAATATCTTCTTGTAAATCTTATTTGTTATGTTAATATTATTAATTAGTAAAAAAAGTTATGACCGAGTACGCTTCATGCTTACATAAGACGAATGAGCTGGTTATCTCGACATTTTAGATACGGTCATCAAAACCCAAACCCGACCTTTCTATCTCGGTCAATGTCAATGAATCATTGTTATTTTCTTGGTGTAAGAACATCACCAACAGATTCTACAAAATGAATAAAATCGAAAATCAAAATCTTCAAAAAAGTTAGATTAATTCCGACCGCATCTCCATTTTAAAATTTAGAATATTCACAGTAACGGAGAACCTTCAAGAACCCAACTTTCTAAAATTTCTATTGCAACTCAATAACATGAGAAACTCAATGACGTTTCCACAAAAACCCCATTTCCATTTTTTTATTCATAAAACATAACTTTGATATATTTGAAAAACAATGAATATATATATATATATATATATATATATATATACACTAGTTGTTGTATTGTTTAAAAATAGAAAAGATGTTTTACAATTAATAATTTACGATTTATAACTTTACTTTATTACATA